ACACACACACACACACACACAAACAAACACACAGTGTACTATCATTGGCCAGGTCTTGGCTCAATTATCATGAGAAGAGAAACTACACACACACACACACACACACACACACACACACACACACACACACACACACACACTGTGGACTATCATTGGCCAGGTCTTGGGTCAATTATTGTGAGAAGAGAAACTGCTTACTTGCACCAATGAAGCAGCCAAAAGGCTTTGTTGTCCCTGCCCCTTCAGGAAGCACGTGTCCCCGGATCATGACCTTTCCGAGCGGCTCTTTTTTCGAGCTTGAATAATCTTTCTCTTTGAATTCCTGATAGTGCTGCATCATAGTGCTGCGTGGGTGTGCGTTGACTGCTGCAAACACCTACCGCAGAAACGAACAACACACAAAAGTCTGTGTTATGCTGATTCTGACCCGGATTTTGTACCAACAAGCCCAGCTCACTTGGTACACCCACAAACTGTTGAAATACAGACTCAAGTTCGAATCCAGTTACAATCAGATGGCCAGAATAACATAAATTCTGAATTACCTGGGGCCTGATATCTCAAGGCAGACGCCCTTTTAAACAAAAAAAAATGAACCGGATTTCGTTGTGGCTTTGTTAACCACATCAAGGACATGCAAAGAAGTGCTCTAAGTTGCAGAGCGGGGCTTGGCATAGTCAAACTTCAAAGAGAGGTAAGCAGCTACGTACCGAACAATTTAACAGGTACACGACAGCTACACTACTACTGCAACTACCCCTTTTACTCACTTTCTCCGCAATGTGTGTAGGTGGGGTATATCACAGCTTGTACAAAAACTCTCTCTCTCTCTCTCTCTCTCTCTCTCTCTCTCTCTCTCTCTCTCTCTCTCTCTCTCATATAGATGTGGGAAGCCACAGTTATGGTGCTCTTAGCACATCACAGCTAAACAAGCCAGAGAGAATTGATCTTAGAAGATCTTCAACAGAAAAATGAACCAAGTGCGCGAGGCTTTACTGTCACAGTGGACGCACAAAAGAGCCAGCCAATACCTTCGGCGCCTCTTCTATTTTTCTGCTTTTGGAAATTTGGAGGGGATAGGTAGAACTGTACTAGAACAGTAAAAGGAAATAAATGCTGTTGGCTCCTGAAGCGATTTTGAAAGGTCAGCGATGGGGTGTCAGACATCACAGTGGGGAACTTCACACCTAATCGGAAGATCTGATCAACCTCCCCC